GCCTTGATCAGCATTCGCTTGAGGCTCAAAACCCGGCCGTGAGCGTACGGCTCTCGCTTGTCCATGGGCTCGTTTGGGAAATCCTGGCAGAGCTGCGTAACAAAAATGAACCCACGGCTTAAACATACGACTTTCAGAGAAGAAGTTTTGAGGGCTTTTGCTTCTGCGCTCACTGGCGCTTCTTTGCGTTTTGGTTTGAAGGTTGTCGGCTGAAGGCTCGGAATTTCGCTTCACGGCAGGCATGAAGTGTCAATCGTCATAAGGGTTGAAAGGGCGATGGTCCCCAGAGATTTGTCGGGAATGTAAGGAGACTGTTCTGGCGCAGGAGTCTATGAGGGATGCTCTCAGAGCCGAAAAGGCTCGCAACCCCCAACATCCAAAACCCTACGACTCTAAAAGCCCAAAACCCTAAGCCCAATAAAACCGAAAGCCCAAATTAACACACCTCAACAGCCCTAAACCTAGACCGTTAATTCACTCCCAGGAATGCCCACAGAAGTCCTTCGAGTAGTCCTTGGTGAAGGCTGCTTCTGTCACCTGATTCTTCCAGCTGGGTCGTTCTTAAAGTCCTGGCCCTCTATATCTGGTAAACGGGTTGCACTTTCATCGGGTCGCGCTTCAGGCCCTTGAAAGAGATCAGTTGTTTGCGTGGTGTATGACGGTTCCGGAGGGTTCACGTAAGGCCATGGGGTACGTGATGTTTAGGGTAGGACATATCAGGTTATCTGGACCTACTTGGTTTGCTGGGATTTCCTCACAAATTCTTGTGCGATACTGGTGGAAAGCATCGGTGGGTAGGGCCTAGGCTTCTCTGACCTCAGGGCAGCCAACACTAAGGCAATGCCAGTATGCAGAACCTGCCAGTGGCATCTTCTACTGTGTAATGTTCAGGAAGGAATGATGTGATTGCACAACATCCCGGAAACTACAAGGTCGGCAGAATCTTAAGTAAGCCTGGTCAGGCCCGGAGGCACTACATGCTCTGCCCCTGCTCTGAGGACCCTCCGACACTGAATCAAGCAATGCTCCCGGATCGACGTTTGATGTTTGGCTGCCAGGTCTTGGTCCAGCGACAATGCACATCAGGACCTTGAAGGACAAACCCATTGCACCATCGAGACTCCCCAGAAGCAGCTGCTGTCAATCGCATAAAGAGAGAGGAAGTTTGCAAAAGGCCCGTTGGGCCTATAGGGCCGGCCTATCCATTCAAGCCACTAACATCCAAGTGGCCCATCTCTTACAGTACAAAGATCTAGGCATGCACCAACTTCCTTGAGCCTTCAGTCCATCCACGAAGATCCTAGCACCGTAGACGTCCGCCATGGGATAGCGAGTCTTCAAGCCCAAGCTCTCAAGGCCCCAACCTCCGATCTCAGACAAGCCTCTCTCACTTGCAATTGTTCAAGTCAAGGCTACAAATAGAGAGAAACAGAGTCAAACCTTTGCAACATGCACTCACTGAAGGTAGATTGGCTTGAGTTTTAACTCGCGCCAGAGAAGCTAGCGTTTAATCCAGCCAGTCACGTGGTTGTTCTGACCTCGTCCACCGGAGATTCCCTTCAAGCGGAGAGTGAGAGAAGGATACCTCGGCTTTTGAGGATGTAGGGCTACGATTTAGGATCTTGGGCTTTAGGAGCGTGGCTCCGGTTCAACTTCGGGGTTGCGGCAGACCGCATTAGACAAGAAATCCCCAACCCTTTGAGTGCATGCATTGGCTAAAGGACTCGTGTTCTGATTGGCCTGAAGGCTTCTGCATTGCCGGTTGGTTGGATAATCATGTGGCACATGGTGAGCATACAAGGTAACCTGCAAGCCTCGAGGTATGGTAACAATTCACCTACCTTATCTCGACCCACATTTTGGGGGTGGTTCGTTTGGTGTCCTGACTTTTCCGGAAATGTGCCTTGCAAGGCCGGCCAGCCGGGCCACCATAGGCCTTGGTATTGCTATTCTGTATCTCAAGACGAAGCAAAAAACACAAAACTTCAGTACCCTCCCACCAAACTCGTCATACCAACCCTCCCGAGAATGTGTGGTTCCAAAGACTGCTGTTGATGTCCTTTCTCACTCACTCCCCTAGAAAAATCAGTTGCGCTGCTTCTTGAGGACGGCAGCCACCTCCTTGACTAGAGCATGGTTCTCCTCTCGCTCGGATGCGTTCCAGGCCTGGTGCCCGCTGAGGGTATCAGCTTAGAGTTGGTTTAAGGGTTTAGAAAAAGGCTAAGTTGGGGCGCCTTCTGCATCTTCCCCTCAATTGACTCCTGGGGCTCATTGCCGCCCCAAGAGTAGTCGTTGAAGACCTAGGGCCCACGATCGGATCGTTGTGCCCAGGGGATGTGTGTAGGGATTGGGCAGTTATGCTGAGTGAAGCGCTTCGGGATTGATTTTGGACTTAACTTGGGGACTGAGGGGCTTAGCGCAAGCAGGTTTAGGGTTTGTTTCTAGGGGTGTTTTGGAGTCCGATGTTGCGGGTTGTTGCGGGTTGAGGTCATGCACCCCTCGCGAGGGTCAGCCACGGTCTGAACCAATCGATGCTTTAAGCCCTGCAGGTCAGGAAATAAAAACTTCAGTGTCCTGTACACTTCCAGACGCGCGGATCGTTGCGATTGCCGAACAGAACCGGGTGTGGAGAAGTACCCACCTTCTTGAATACAGTAGTGTCAACCCAAGACACGAGCTGGTGGTTTAATAAGGCCAGGGAGGAGCCTCCAACATTCACAACCCCAACAAAAGCCCTAGTGCGCCTGCTTGAATCGCACCACCCAACGCCCTTGACGGCTACCAAAATCGCCTAATCGTTTTAAGGCGCGGGGTTGTTAGGAAAGGAGAAGGGGGCCGAGGGAGGGAGGTTCCTAAATCCCCAAACCCTCAACACCCCTATTCTAATCCGCTCAGTAAGCCGGGAGGCAATGCCTAGTGAACGAAACAATGGGAATCCCTGCGTACGCCCAACGGTTCAGCCTACATACTGAGCGCAAAAAAGAATCCCAAATTGGCTTCCACCAGCCACACGCTTTTCCAAGGCATCCTACACCCTCACTCCAACAAAAAATGCGGCTCTGCTGGCCACGGTCTTGCCGGTCATGACCCTCTCGAGCTCCTCCTTGCCCTTCTCCAGCTGCTGTTCCTTAGGAGGAGCCTGCAGCAAGGTAGAACTCTGAGCAAGGCGTCAGCGGGCTGCAGCAGGGGTGAGGGATCAAAAAACACGTTTTAAACATCAAAACAAAATTGTATTAAACCAAATAGGGACCAGGACAAAGGGCAAGCATCAAAAAGAAACTGATTTTGTAGTAGTACTAGTAGTACTAGTAGTACTAGTAGTACTAATGCTAGTAGTAGTAGTAGTAGTAGTAGAAGAAGAAGTACTAGTAATAGTAATAGTAGTAGTGATAGTAACAGTATTAGTAATATAGTAATAGTAATAGTAAGAATGATAGTAATGGTAATAGTAATAAGAATAATAGTAACAGCAATAGTAATATAGTAATAGTAATAATAACAATGATGAAAGTAGTAACGGTCATTGTAGGAATAGTAATAGTTACTGAGTGGGAAAACATGTAAATTATAAAACAAATCAAAATGAGCACATGATGCAAAATGTGAAAAATCAGGAAATTGTGAAAATTGTGCAAAATCAGGAAATTGTGAAAAATTGTGAAAAAAAACATGAAAATAATGAAACGTTAACAAAATTCGTGGAAAGTGACAATTTATGAAGCATGCAAAGTATTCACAAAGCACATTCACGCGAGCATTTGTCATCATATTCCCCTTTTCAATATGACTTTTCATCAGTTTCCTCTTTATCTATTCGTCATTTTCATTATTTGACAAATGTTTTTTAAGTTTTGATTTTTCCACATTTTTCGTTATTTTTCATTGTTGTTCATGACTTTTTATAGTTTTCATGATTTTCATGATGTTTCATCATGTTTCATCATGTGTCACCATTTATCATCATTCATCAATATTTGCATTATTGTCTCATGAATTCACCATGTTTCTTCTTTCATGAGTTCCATCACTTCTCATTATCTTGATTTTCATACTTGTCATATTTCATTGTTGTCATAGTTCTTCATGATTGTTCATTTCAGCGTGTTTCATGATGTTCAATATTTATCATTGCTTCCATGCTTTTCTCAACATCTTTATCACGGTTCTTATCTAAATATGAAACTCATTGAGACATGGTGAAAATAGTGAAAAATCATGAAAAGTGATTCAACATTCTGAGAAACGATGAAACATGACGGAACATGATGAAAAAGCATGCAAACCCTGAAAAAAGACCACACGACGTGAAAACAGTGAGAGATCACAATGATAACATGAAAGATGATTACAAATTTGCGGCATTCATGAAAAAATGACAAATCATGCAAAATCATGAAACACCACCGTGAAAAAGTAACGAAAAACTATGAATGTGAAGGAACAACCCTGCAGAATGATGAAGACATTCGACAGTTGAAAGAAACTCATGGAATGTCATAAGAATCATCCTGAATATGACGAAAAAATTTGAAACTGATGAAAATTGATGAGAACTGATGAAACATGATAAGCAATCCTTCCTTCCTTGCTTCCTTCCTTCCTTCCCGCCTTACTTCCTTCCTTCCTTCCCTCCTTCTCTCGTTCCTGCCAGGGTAAAGGGTCGAAGCCCAAGCATCAAAACAAACCATTCCAGATTGGTGTTCTCCCCAGGAAAAAAAGTGTTTATGATGCTTATAAAATTTTGTTTAACCCCTATGCCTGGTTATCAGTAGGGTGGTGACAACTAGAATCGGGTATTTATCAGACCACGCATCTAGATACGCATGAACCTTCAGGTGAACCATGACCTGGGAAGTACATCCCCTGATCAACTGCTGAAAAGTAGTACGGATTAATTTCTTTAAAGGCTAGCTGCCATGATTATTCATCAAGCCGACACCTCGCACAAAGTTGGAGTTGATAATGCTCTCCAGAACACATCTTTGACTGAGTCTCCCCACATGCGGACCTGCACACTCTGCGCCTGGAAGGAGCTTTGAAGCCTGTTACATCGCCAAAAACACGCAGCAGCAACATCTCTGAACACGACAAACACGTAAGAATTCTCCATCCCAGGGCCTTCGAACTGCTTTTTCATCCATGCCCTCTTCGCTCTGTGTGCACAGGACAAAGAACGGGATTCCATGCAAGGCCATCCTTGGCGCAAGACGAACCCCAAATTAGGACACTGACCAAGACATGCTTGCGAAGCAAAGCTTAATTTGCTGACAGCTGCCCCCGGTCATGAGAGAAATCATGACATGTCTGCACGTCACGGCTGACAACACAAAAAACAAATGTTGCACGAAGATCAACAACCCGCATCCAAGGAGATGTATCTCGTTGCATCTCACTGTTGAATCCTTTGCCCCTCGTTTGAGATGCGACCCGTTAACGGCAATTTGTGCAGCTTTCATGTTCAGGACACACGCCAATGCGGGGGCAAGGGGGCCACTTACATCGGCTAGGCAACAAATCTCTAAAGGCAGTGCTAATCAATTACAACAGCAATGCATCACAAAAAGGTAACATCATGGACTTCATCATATCACTTCCTCCCCTTCCTTGGCGAGCGCGAGACATTTACATAAATCAGAACCCTTGAACTTGAACCCAAACACCCCAAAAAAATAGAGCCATGAGTTGTCGTTTGCTCGATACTTCACGTTTTCGTGTTGCGGAAGACCATCATGTGCAAAACTCCATAGCAGTGTGAGGATTTCGACGAAGCTCCTGGGAGCAGCTGTGAGACGAAGGCCTGCAGAGATGCTGGGCTTCGTCTCCAAGAGCGACATGCCAGACACCACCAGGGACTCAAAAAAAACTTGAGAACTTAAACCTGGAATAGCATTAGCATCATAATATCATGCTACTGTACTTGCACCGAACGGGTCAAAGCAAGCCTGCACACGACTGCAGCACACCCACATGCTGAGCTATGGACGCCACAAAGAGCCTCTTGCACAGAGTCGACTGGAAAACTCACGCGAACAGCTAAGGAGCAACTTGGAACCCAACTTGCAGTAGATGTCCGTCAGCACATACTTCTCTGAGAACAGCACGAAAACCTTGAAATGCCCAGGGCACGTGCTGGAAGATTACTCAATTGTGCTTTTGGGTCCCCATAGTAAAATAAAACCTAAAATACAGTACAGGGTACTCAAAGCAGAACCATAGTTTGGACAACCTGCCACATGACATGAGCTGGTTCAAACAAAATCTCGGAGATCTGCACAGTCGATATACAGAAGGCCAAGCTCGCGGACGTAATCCTGCGAAGCAATGCGAAGCGAATCACCAAGGGCGAGGTTATCCCACACGGAGTCCACACAGAGTCTTTACGTGTTGAATTGCCTGTGCACTACCAGAGTTGACCGGCAGAAATGAAGTGAGGCCATCCCTTACGCTGTATAGAAACTCCCAAATGCCAGCCATCGCTACATCATGAAAGACTTGCCAGTCCTCCGCCTTTTGGTTGAAGTTAATCTCTGGCAAATCCCACAGCACGACCCTCATGGTGGACCATGATGCTGCCAGCAACTAAGTTGACACACTTCCGCTAGAGCCTGTTCAGGTCACTGTCAAGGAAGTGATATGGAACTGCCTCGCATGGCTTCAAGCGGCAGGAGACATGCAAGGCACATCAGACTTGTCTTTGTCACAGATTAACTCGAGAAAGGAGGTCACAGCCTCTCGACCGGGTGCCAACTTGCTGCCAGTGCCCTTGAAGATGTGTGCGATCTGGGGCATGAATTCCTGCCGTTCACCAGAAGAGGACCGCCAGAATGACGAGTCAAAGCCAGCCCCCAAAATTATGCAATGACAAGGCTGTGAGAAGCCCGGCAGATGTCAAGCCACATGAAACGAGCAACGCCCGGTCCAGGAACTGTTTTTTGCAGGTGGAGCTGGGGCCGATCATGGCAAGGTGCATCCTCGGATTTGTTGGCAGTGATCCAGGTGCCATTCAGCATGCAAATGAGGAGCACAGGTGTCCATGAAAGATTATCATCTGCCATGGCTGGCCCGCTTTTGCTTGGTTCCGTGCTTGTACGCCTCCCAGCAGAAGTTTGGCCGAGGATACCTTTGCTGGGGAAGGTCCTCAACGCCTTGCAAACTCTAGGCAGCTCATTGGCTCAGCTACCAGCTGCTTGGTCTTTTGCTCACATCCATAGTCATTTTGAGGAGCGTGGACGGGAAGTACCTAACGATCTCAGCTGAATTCCAAAGGAGACTAGAAATCTGAAGTCATCTGAAATCCATAACGTCCAAGAAAGCTGCGACTTCCAGATACGTGTTCTGCAGGTAATTCCTGGCCATGATGCAAAGGTCCACCCCTCAAGTCTGAGTACTTCCCTTCGATCTGGCATTACTTTCAAACCGCCATCCTGTGTCAGAGTATAAGAAGAGCTCCGGGCTCCAAACATGTCAGTGAGGCACAAGCCCAGGATGGTGAAAGTCTCCAGCCAGCGGTGGATCCTTCCAACCCATCTGTTCCAGGAGCTCTGCCTGGGCCATTGCTCTGCTGCCAGCAGTTGCAATCCTCTGAACGGAAAGCTCCTGGTGCGAACGAATGTTCATTTTTACAGGAAAAGGTGAGCCGACTTGGAAGTCTCGGGGCCCTGCACACACGGATCCTGAGCTCCCCATGGTTTGTTTCCTGCTTCCTTAGCCTGTCCAAGGGCGCAAAATGTCACAACCTAATCGCTGGTTGACACAAGAACAATACACCTGAGCTGCGCCTCAAGCAAGATTAGGTCTTGGATGACCAATCTCTTCAAGTCCTGCACATGTAGGATCGGAACCTCGTGCTGTCCCAATATGTCTGCCGAACACTAGTGCCTTCGCGGTGTTCGCATGCAAGTGTCAGCACATGCCCGCGCCATTTCATCACGGATCGTAAGAAATGCTTGTATGCATCTGTATGATGATTCATGGAGGCCTCGTGCTGTGCTAGGTCTGAGGAAAATGTAGATGATGTGAGAATCTAGACTTCCAGCATTGCATCTAGCAGCTAGACTAGTAAGACTGCTCATGATGTTGCAAAGCCAGAAATGAACTTTCTTGCTTGTTCCTTGCTTCTGCCCTTCAGCCTTAAAGCTGGGCATTTTCATCACACGCTGGCACACGGATTCGTCCGGCAAAGATGCGTCACAAAGCTATTACACATCAAACTGCCCGGCGCTACTGCAAGAGCTACAATTTGTTTTGTCCAAAGCAGGATGACCCAGCTGAGAACTCGAAGAGCAGACTGCTGAAGAAATAGAAAGGTTGTGTGCAGAGGCTAATCAACATGCTCGAGTGTTCTTGCAAGATAAAGGCTGATGAAACCTGAGGCTCTCCGCTCACTGGATCATGAGAAATGGAGACCTGGTCAACTGTTTCATTCCAATGCCAACTCGCGACATTGAAGGCTCGTAATGGCCTCAATCTTCCGGGTAGTACCAGTGGCGGCGTGCGCCAGGAGGCAAAGGTTTTTCCTTGCGACTTTCGCAGTAAGCGTTGCAAACTCTGCTGCTGCTGCTGCTGCTGCTGCCAGAAACACACGAACAGAAGCGCTGAGTGTTGTAGGCATCCAGCGATCCCTCTCCAGCCCTTGTACGCTTCGGTGCCATAAGCCTGCGAAAGAGTAGCATTCAGATTAAGAGCTTTTCAGCTGACCCTCGGAAGCAGCACTGGAATCAAGCCTGACCTAATGCAACCTTTGCAGCTGCTGGCCTTCATCCATCTTGCACGTGGGCCCCAGAACCCACCAGCCAGGCTCACGCCATCCCTTAAGCGGATCCACCTCACAGACCGTCAGGGGTCGCCGCGCGCACGAACATCCGTCATGTTGGCTCCACGGGCAAAAAAAATCTGCGTGCTGCTCTTGTACAGTCAGCAACCTCCTTACCAGCGAAATGCTGGCAAGCAGCTTCTTCTCGTCGGTGTAGACAAGCTTTACTTCAGAAGCCTGTACATTGCATCAGTTAATTGTAGCGGCCGCCGATTCCCCACGCGTCGGATCTTGCCTTGCCAATGGCACCGCCATCCTTCTCCTTCCTAGCTTTCTTGGCATCGGCGTTGTTGCTGAAGTGCACGTAGGCATGCCTGGGCCATGCGTCGCAGACGCCAGGTTGCTCGCCGAAGACCTGCACCCTCCTTGAAAGCAGCTGAGCTCCATGCTTGACCTCTTCATGCGGCATCTGATGACCGACAATGACGGCCTGAAGAGCCCACAGAAACATCTGTACGAACATGTGCATGAGTCTATTCGAGAACACCTTAAGAATTCTGCATCAGCTTGCAAACCTGACCCCGCCAAAGTGCCTTGCACTATCCCAAGTTGGAAATGCCCTGAGGGGTGTTTGGACCCAGCCTCTGGCTTGTACTCGTCTGTTGTGAAGTAGTCGAAGACCTCCTCCTCAGTGACGACGTCGTCCTGCAATCAAAGACAGGGCAGCTGTCTTGCCCACACAAAAGAATTCAACTTTCTGCTCCAAGTGGCTCCTCACCGTCTGGGAATGTCAGTTTGAGAGTGTGCGACCAGTCTTCGAGGGTTGCCTCCTGCGACTCTATGGCGCTCTGCACCAGCAGGCCCAAGGCAAATGGGATAATGCGTCACTTTGCATACTCAGGCCAGCACTGGCACAAAGAAGAGCATGGTGACATACTCAGGAATGTGGATGGCCCACCTTTGACTCTGCACACTGCCGCTCGCTGCTGTGGCTTGTCTAGATTCTTTGGAAAAACTTGGGAGGGTGTAGAAGTTCATGGGTAGGCAGCAAGTTCTGGGGGGACTGTGGCATGAGATCTTTCGGATTTTCAAGCTCCAGCTACAGAAGCTAGGAATACAGCCGACCTACAATCGGCTGCTTCCTGGCTTTTCGGTCCCTGCTTAAACGTATTCGCTACACAAGTAAAAAGGCACTATGGTGCAACCCCTTGCCGCTGGCATCAACGAAATCACGAAACATAAGCGAGAGGTACGCAGAACAATTCAATCCTTTCGCAAAAGTTTCAACTGGTCAAGTCTAGGTCTAGGCTGCCACCCCATACCCTGCCTCACTGTGAAGCCTGTAAGGCCGCACTAGCAGTAAGACTCGGGATGCACTTGCACAGTGGCAGTCAGCTTTCTAAGGCATCTGGAACAATGCTGGCAACGTCCGATAAGTGAAGCTACTGAAGCAATAGCCCCATAAACTGAGGTCAGGTCTCTTTGTAGCGCTCTTCCTGTGTTTTCGGGTGCATCCTGCAGAAGATCTGTATGCCCATAAACCCAACCTCTTGCACAGAACTTCAGAGTAACAAGAATACCTGGGGCCTGGACTTTTTGGGCTTGTTTCGCCGGTTCTGCCTGCGGCTGCCTCCCTGCATGGCCTTCCAGGACTTACCCTCAAAATCATGCGGAATCCTATCAAAACTTTCGCAAGCAAAACGGAGTTTGTCCCTTACGATGACTTCTGGTAAGCATCCAGCCACAATGGAGCTCTCCCTCGCGGCCAGCATACGCCTAAAAGCGCAGAAAGGGTAACAGAATGTGTTTCTTAAAGATGAGAAACGTCCTGCCTATCCAGGGACGGAGTCTCAGGGGCCACAAAAGCCGCTTCCTGCTCCGACGCCTGCTGATAACTGTTACTGCAGTACTCGCCAAGAGAACCGATCCCAAACCAGAAGCCTGCTTTGCAGACCATATCCAGCTAGCCCAGGTCAGAGCAGCAACTGCCTGGCTTCCGAAATCACAGCCACGTGGCAGAAACAGAAGGCACCAAGAAAGTTGACAGATCTGGCAGGCAGGCCAGGAAGGACAACTGCAGTGCCACCCGTGGCCTGACAAGACACTCTCTTGTGAGCCTCATGAGCCTCGCAAGGCTAGCATTGCACCCGGCCTGTGCCGGCGCGGCTCCAACACCGCCATGGTTTCGTCCACTACGTGAACAAAACCCCACGCTTCGGCCAAATCGAGCGTGGCAACAATCAGGAAGAGCAAAGGAATGACTCGAAAGACTGGGTCGACATAAAAGCTATTTGCAACATGAGCAAACACCAGGCAAGCATACTTGCTGCTTTTGCGGAGGCTCCGCACAAGGTAGAGTGCGGCCGCTGGAGAGGCCGCACGCAATTCAAAAATCAATCGGCCGGAACGGAGCATTCTGGCCGTGAGAGAGCCATAGCATGAGGCCATGGCACAAAAAGAGGCTGGCTAGCCTTCGAATAGACAATGACATATCCCGTTTATTCGATCACCTCTTGGCCCATGGCCGCTAAATGCCAAAATGGATACGTTTGCACTGAAATACGCAACACTTCTCTTTAGGCTCGAAGGCAAACTGCCTCTTGCGATGATGTGCTTGGGAAGAATCAGGACCGTTTGCGCAACAGTCTCAGTTCTACCTCATTCAAAAATGGAGCTGGGAACTCCTTTATTCCAACTTCAGGCAGAAATTTCAAATGCAATTTTAACAGAGATGCGAGGTGTGCACCGGACATCCGCCATCATCCGCCACCATTAAGACCCAGGAAGACTCTAGCACTCAGCGAATTGCCACTTGAAACCTTGAAAGCCGTGGCTTCTGTAGGCGCTCCCTCTAAGCTAAATCATTTTGGGCTGCAAAGCCTCACTCGACATATTTGCCTTGGACGGTCTTGTGTCTGAGCAACGTTGCTACCAGTATCAGCCAGTCATAGCTGCACAGAGTGCACTGGCAAGATCAGTTGAGGGCAATCGGTATTTCGAAGCTGCACGCTGGCGAACTGCTACAGGTCGCTTGCCTCGTGCATCGCCTGGCATTGATGCATGTCCAAAGTTGGGATAAAGAAGCAAGACCTGCAGTTCAATTACCAAGTTGGGGCCTGCCTCTCTGAGAGTTTCCATGTGGCTGTCACTGAAAGACCGCTTCATGGAAGGCTGTTTTCCAACATCTTCTTCGTCATCCGTGTCAACCTGCCAGGCTACATACCCCGATGAATGCATGGCTAAATATGCAACACCCCACAAAGGGCCAATGGCTTCTTTGAGGCTCTCGCCTGCATGACTTCCAAAAAGGTGTTGCGGACGCGGAGTGGAACCTTCCCTTCCTCATCCAGACTGGAGGTTCTTGTGGAAGTTCTGGTTCTGCCTCCCGCATGCAAAACGAACTGTCAAGGCTAAGGCTGAGGCAATGCTGAATCGAAGGTATGTCTATAAAGTCAAATACACAGGTAGCCCGTAGCTTTTAAGTGCCTTCTTCAGAAAACGCTTCGCTCTGAACGGCATCGCCTGCACACAGCGAAGCATGCCTTGTTGCAAACATGCGTGCTGCCGAACAGAAGAAGCCTTTGTCGCGACTCGTGCAAGCACTCCTCCATGGTGCGCTCTGGATGTCCTTCAGCAAAGGTTGTCAAACGAGGCTGGAACCCACCGCTTGCGCGCAGATAAATCGCAACACTCATTGGATACCGTTGCCTCACAACGGTAACAGAAAGGCTTCTCCAGACCCGTTTCTCTTTCAGTGCTTTAGGGGCTCCGACCTGCTCACATTCTTTCCTCTATGGGTTCTGCACACCCCAAATGACGTGCTGAGATGTGCTGATTCTATGCCCTAAACCCGCGCGAGTCTGGCTGTCATTCGTCTCTCTGATGAGGACTTGAATGCAGGTCATGGGTTTCCAAGTGTCCACAAATCATTGACGTACATCTTGGATTCGCCAAATGCTTTGTCCCTTCTCGAGTCAGAAATTATTTTTGCCATGCCTTTGCCTTCCCTCTTGCTCATGTATCCATCCTCGTGGGTCGAATTGGTACCAGCACCGACCAGGATGCCGCACATGCTGATGGTCAGCTTCGCCGCTAATCCAGCCGGCTGTGAAACACGCGAGACTTTGAGGAGGTGGCAAGGCAATCACGACAAGAAAAGTATTTCCTCCGTACCACAACCAGGAGTCCCTTGTACCACAACAAAGACGCTTGCCACTCCCCAACAATTGTCTTCCTGCCAGCCCCCAAGATGACCCTGTCAAAGCCGAGAAAAACACCTCCCCCCCAGACTCTCCCACAGACCCCCACCGCACCCCCAGACCTTGTCCCATCCTTGGATCCACCAGACCCTCCCAGGACCCTGAGCCATTTTAGGCCGCTGCGTCGCCCACTTTGGCTTTCGACATGAACCCCAATGCAACACAAGGCACATGCATGCATCCATGGTGTTTGTCGTTTTCCAGCCCCAAACCTCCAAAAAAGAGATGTGTGCACACGGCCTCTGACAGGTTGACAATTCCACCACCCTCAGCGCCCGCCGACCTTCCGGGCTTATGTGATTTTGCGCCTGAGGAGGCTCCAACACCACCCCCCAACCAACGCCCACCACCCTCAGCGCTCGCCAACCCTCCCACTTTAGATGGGGTTAATGTATTTAATAAACACTAGCCATGGCAGGAAGTATGAAATGCCACGTACACGTGGTTTCCAAAGCAGGTTTTGCAGTAAGAAAAGTTATTGCGTGGCATATGACTTGTTGGTCAAACGGATCAAAAAACGTCTCATCCCATATGGTTTGAATATGCATACCACACAAGTACCAATCACTACGGGCAGATGCATTTTGAGGCGTTCTTTCAAAAAGCAAGGCACTGGCAACTCTTGGCACCCCTATTCATGTATGGCTTGCAGCAATCCCTAGGCCCAGAGCAGCATCTTCATTATTCCAGGGGGGGGGAAGTCCCTAAAAGCTTTAGACTCTTCTTAGCAACTTGCAGACCATTAAGTCGGTCCATTTCCCACCGCCTCAGGACCAGGACACTTCACATGACCTCGGGAGAGAGTACTCTCTGATCTGTACTAGTATGACAGTATGACTTCACGCGAGAAACACATGCTACAAGGGCTTCCCATGCCTAGGATTCTATTTCATCACTCCTTTCAATGCAGGTGCCCTCACCCCCTGATCCTTCTGCTGGGGCATTTTTCATCATGTTCTATTCAGGCCAGTCCTCGTGCGCCCCCTCCTGCACATGAAACTACTTGTACATTCATCTACATTATTAGTTGCTTTCACCCTGCATCTTGTTATTCTTTCATTCGTCATCCTCTCTCTTCATTTTTTCTTTCATTCGAGCGTTGATGACGTGTGACCCAATGCGGGCCCCAACTTCAGCTGGCAATGCTTCATCGTGGAGGGGCTGCCGACAGTCGGACCAGCCTTGGACATGCCTTAAGCCTTTGACATAGAGAGTGATTGAGCGAGCAAGTGAACAGGATAAAGCCAGAGAGAGAGAGAGAGAGCGAGAGAGAGACAGAGACAGAGAGAGAGAGAGAGGGTGAGCGAGACACAATAAAGAGAAAAAAATAAATACAGAAAGAGAAAGAGATAAAAGAGAGAAAGAGAGACAGACACATACAGAGACAGCGAACGAGACACAGAAAGATTCAGAGAGAGGAAGGGATAGGGAGAGAAAGATGAAGCTTGATTCCCAAAGATATGCAGCTCCAAAACTTCTAAACGGTTCTTTTATTGGGTTTGGGTTCCTGTTGCAACCGTGCGGATGTATGCGGGCACAGACGAGTGCGTGCTAGCATGATAGAAAACCATGATGCGCTGCGCATGGAGCTTGAAGTAGGAGATCAACACTTGCAAGGCTGGTGTCTTCGGGCCGAGGCGGGCAAGTGCTTTCACTATCTTTCATGATCGCTCGAGTGCCGGATGCACTTTGGGGTCCTGAAAGTTGGTACCGAACAGAACAAAGACGTCCCAAAGAGCAGTCGCAGTCTCCCGGCTCACTGCTGGTGGCTCCTGCTGCAAAGCTTTGAAGGAGACTGATAAACATCGCACGGGGTATACAGGCTTTGTATCAGCAAGTGCACTCCACTCTTTGGGCCATATGCCTACTCTTCCACAATTAGCAATCCACCTTGAGCTGCTCACAAAGCATGCCTGAATACTGAATGCAAGCTTGCGAAGGCTACAGATGCGTGCTGCTCTATCGGAAATATTTCTCTGCCCTTGATCTCTGGCCATAAGTATAAGGAATGCTGAATCCCAAATCAAGGGCCAGAATTCTTCTCCAGGCTTGCCTCGCCGAGGGGATTCCACTTGCCAGCCTCCAAAGCAAGTTGCCATCAGAAGAACCGTTTCATCAGAGTTCCAGAGTTTCTATGACATTGTCAGTGACCGAGACTATGAGACTAAATGCAAAGGACAGCGCCTCATCGATCGGCCAGGTGCCATACGGCATCTGCGTCCACACGGACCGCAGTTCCGCGGAGCCGTGGGCAAACTTGCAGTTCGCATCTGTGCATCTCCTTCGTCTCATGGTGGGTCAGATCCGAAGCATGTGGTGGTTATGATGGCTACGCAAGGCTACTGGCAATGGTTTTGATGAGAGGGGAACTGCTAGCCCTCCCGTCCTCTGGAAGAAGTTGTAGCAAAGCTTGGTCTTTACCAAGTCTGGCATTGGCTGCAATTCTCCTCTGGAGTGTGCGTAGGGACATCCAGGACCTGCTAGCTCAACTCACACCGATAAAGGAGCAGTACCGAGCAGTTTCCAAGAACAATCAGCTGTGGGCGGCGCCCATTTCGCACATCTTCTTCTTGTTGTAAGCACACATTTTTGTCTTCCGAAACTGATCTTTCAATGGGTGCGGCAAGAGCATGTTGTTCACCGTGTTTACGGCCCATTGATTGGGCCTTGCCTCAGCTAGGGTCAAGGCTTGTTGGAGTACCTGCTGCCACGACATGAAAGGTCAAACAAGACTTCAGCATGCAAACACCGCGTACAGCTTTGGCCAAGCAGCATTCGGGAAGATCACGGGCTGGCAGTTTTTGCTCTGGGCATTGTTGTTTGACCAATGTGCAATCAAGGCCTTCATGCTTCATGTTTCCCAGATCACCAGGGACAAGCAGTTGCAAGGCACTGCCCAAACGCGGTACATGTGTCCACATGAACAATCATTGTAACGAATGCCTCCAGCCCCTGCACATCAGCCATAGTGATGCTCCCTTGGAAGCTATACTCCTTCAAAACTACATGCAAGAAAACCAGTCGGCACCGAACACCCACTACTCCCACAACACAGTCCTGGCAGATGCAAGTGAACAGCATGACCTGCAAAGTTGCTTCATCAAGACTTGGAACCTTCAAACCTGTTTGGCAGGTTCTAAGCCACCAACGAATACAGGATCGATGAAATTGACGAAGGCCATGCACACGTCACCGTCTTTCACCACATGCACAAAGTCGTATGTCCCTGACCAGCAACATAATTCTAAAAACCCTTGGCGGTTCTGAAAAAAAATCTGGAGCCTCCAAGACCCCACGCATCCAGCTGATTGATAAAGCACGAGGGTATCGTGTCAGCTGGCAAACATGACACCTTCACCTAGGCGGGCAAAACTGCATAGAAGTGCATGCAGAAGCTAAAGAAGCTGGACCTCAAGATAAGAAACTGTTTGTGCTCGTGTTCAGTTCGCATGTCAACCCCGCATGTTAAGGAAGTATGCCCTGGTGCTTGAGCTTTCCATTCTTAAAATGTTTAAACATGTTCTGTTACTGTTAACACCGTGAACATGAATGCGGAAAATACTGACGACTCAGATTTCATTCTGAGATGGCAGAAGTGACGCACGCAGAAAATCAATCGAGACAAGAGAGAAAAAACGGCACCGGAATACAATTGGACTCTCGCAGCGTTACGGCCAGCTAGACAATCAAACAGCAAATCTGCAAAAAGCATAACAAAATGGGAAGCAATCCTTGCCGGCAGCGTTACTAGAGCACGAAGCCTACATGATCTATGCTTCCACATCCACCAATGTGCAAAGACTTTGGTGAGTGATGAAAAATTCAGAGAAAGGGGGGACGAATGGGAAACAAAACCACAAACACACAACCGATGAAAAATCTGTCCGATAAAAAAATCTGTAGACAAAGACAAGCTAAGAGGAGAGAATAGACAGGCACTAGAAATGCTTCCCGGCCGAATGAGGAAACAGGCCTTATGTGTCTCTCGTGCTTTCTCATTCAAGTATCGCTTTGTACTCATGTTACTTCTACAAAATAACTCTCATGTATCAGTCAGAGCCCGGGGAACTGGATTTGATTGTACCTTGCCGGTGCTGTTTTACTGTACAGCCTGCTCTTTATTCGCTGATGGCAACTCTGAATTTCTAGTCGCGCGTTGAAACTGTCTTCTCCACTCTTGACTTTTTTACATTTATGGCATCATGTTCCATGCTTGTTGCGTATGCCCTCCAAGCCCCGGCGAACACATGAGGACCCTTATACCTACTGTACGTACTGATCATCCCATGTCCTGTTTTCCTGCATGCTGAGTGCACAGCACAAAGTTTCACCTTCTGAATTTGGTCGTCGACATCCGGGGAGGACTTGCCACTAAGCCTTAGACGTCCAAAGACATGAGTCAATTGCAAACCCACCAAATTGGAACTAAATAATCAAAGCAACTCGGACAAACACTTTGGATCGCAAGACCACTGGAACGGAAATGTGACTGGGCCATTGATCATGTCCTGGCATCTGTCTTTTTGCGCGAAACGCTTTCATGACCGACTCTACACAACAAGTGCTTGCCTGAGTCCAATAACCAGTATTGTTCTCCACTCCCTGGACCGGGTACAAGGAGACGATGCCCTGCAATTAGGGGTAATAGCACGTCGAAGCTGTCACCGAAGGCTTGTGCCCAGAATGCTACAACCAAAGAATATGTTCAAGCCTCAAACGGCATCTCAGTCATGGCTGCAAGAGGCACGAAATCCGGAGCATTCACCGCAAACTGCCTCAAGCGCACAAGCTGTTACATCCTCAAAGTAGTCTCTCAGAGGATGCTGGGAGGGCCGCAACTCTTCCGTGGCCTTGCAGCACAGCCGAATGAAGACAGCATAAAAGGAAACCGCACACGCATGGTTGAGTCCAAGGACCTCCACTGACCAATGACAGGGACCATCACTATTGAGAGGCTCCTTTGACGCTACTCAGTACATCCTGTGAGAACACTAGAACCAACACAACTTGTTGGTTCTTTACGTTATGAGACTCGAGGAGGTACAGAAAAGGAAACGGGGGGCAGTGGTCAGACGGCAGGCAGGACTCAATGAGCACCAACTTTGTATATACGGCTGAATGAACATGCCAACCACAAAGTAGCAGCATCGGGTCACTTAGCAGCCGGGGCAGTTGCAGGACACCGTTTTGAAACCGACTGGTAGGGATACAACAACACTACTGGTTCCCGTTCAGGGTTGTGCAGAAAGGGGCCCTGTCGTCAACCTTGCTGTTGAGACTACAAAGCGAGAAAGGTTGAAATGCGGGCTTGGCCATCACGAGCATAGCAGTCTTGCGCAGTAAAATCAGAAGCCGCAGCCAAGGCACGCATGGATGCTGTTTCTACCCGCGATTCTTACCGTCGCCAGCCGGTCCCACCGCCGCCACCACTTCTTGATACTGCTGATTAATGTGAGAATTTCTCTTCTACCCTGGCCGCGGTGTTTTGGCTTTGAGAGAGCCTTCGCTCCAAAGTGTGCGACTCAGGCCTGATTCCTTGGGTGCTTGCCATATCCATCTGGCATGACGAACATACAGATGTTCAGGTCCCCACTGCCTCCATGTCCTGCTCCAGATGAGCAGCATGCCAGCATTCATGCCCCGCGCTTCCATATCTTTGAATCCAAAAAATCAATATGTTGGCATCCATGTCACTTGGGATTTCCATGTGTTCATCACCATGTAATTTAGTGTATGTTGTAGCTATCCACTTCATCCACTTCAGCAGACCTTCAGCTAAACTATCAGAGACAGAGGTGTGTCGCAAGCACTGACTCAGTCGAGTTGTGAAATTGTTGGTTCCCTCGAAAGATGTTCTGGTGAAGCCGGTCACGCAATCAATGATAGCCTGGAAGCAGGCCGCGGCACATGCCACACCGAGCTGAAATTCGATGACGACGGGGCAGCAGCACAGGGCGCGAAGAAACTCGCGGTATGCACGCTCCTTGGCAAGGCGAAGTGTGGAGGCCAGCCCCGCGGAATTTGCAGGCATGGTGGTCGCAGCCCGTCCACATCCACAAAGAGGCAGCACGAACAGGCAGAAACAGGACGTGGGAGGAAGCAGACGCCCGCGAGGGCTTCGCGACACTGAAGCCGCAGCAGCAGTTCAAGTCTGAAACTCGGAGCTGAAAAGTGCATGCACCATGCACCCTGGCCTGCCGAACTGTGACATACATGTTACAGTAGGTTGCAGACAAACGTACAATGCAAGCCAAACCGCTGAGAGCCAGCTCCTAGGACACAAAAGCTTGCCCAAAAGTGGGCCTTCAGGCTCTCCGGTTCGTCTCCCGACAACCTCATCAAAACTCATGTGCCATCATTCCACGCCGTGCAACAAAACCTGCCTTGGTGGTCTGCCAGCCACGATGTCAGCGAAAGATGGCTGAGGCTCCAGTGGACCAAGAGCCTGCAAAGTCAGGTAGACAAACGGGTTATCTGTCATGTTCAGATGATAGTAAGAATCCCGCCTAAAAAATGGTTGTGCGATTTTGTTCCACGGCGGAGGGGGGGCCGCAATAATGAATCAGGTGGCGGGGGTAGGACTAAGTAGCACAGATCGTGGTACTAGTAGTACAAGCACGAAGCTGTATTGTTGCCACATCATTCTTTTTGCCGATCGAACTTGTTCGTAGGGTTTCGGGCCCTGAACTTGCATGAATCAAGTAGTCTTCTGGAGTTTCTGGCCCGGCGGGAATACTTTAGTGCCACCCCTTTATTAATGCTAGCTCAACATTGTCCACCCTTTTTGGGATCTGCAAGTTGTGTTGGCTGATACGTCGACTTTTGGTAAGAAAAAGCTGCCTCATTGCCTGAAACTCCACTTGTATCACATTGACATCAGAGACGAGCTGGGATGCTCTGCAAATCACAACAGAAATTTCTTTCGATACCCATTACATACTATCATGAGTTCCCCTACCACCCCCGATACCACCCCCTAGGTTCCCCGTTAATAAGGTAACAGTTGGAAAATAAAAGCCAATCCAGGCGGAACCTTGGGAGGTAGCGTAGGCGGTGTGGGAGGGGACCCCATGACACCATGACATCGAGCCTTCGAGCTGAGCACCTTCGAGGCGTCTGCTGAGACGTGATCCGAGGAAGAGGCGCCAGGCGAGGCCACAGTGGATGCTGTGGCTCCTTCTTCGGCTTCTTCGAGCGCCGGAGCATCCGTAGACGTGGTCGTATCTAAGGCAGGCTTGGCGGCCATCTTGGCGCGGGCCTGCTTCAAGGTTCCGGGCAGGACGTGCAGTTCGTGAGCAAACATGGGCCCCGCCTCGGGCCGCTCTGGCTTGCGGCCAGATGCTCGTGCATCTTCCGTGGCTTGGCGCTGCCGCAGGCGTTGCCGTTGCCGCTTGGAAAGGGCGCTGGGTGCATCTTGAGCCGTCTGTGGGGTCTCCGCTGGTTCGGTCTGCCGTTCCAACGGCTCCCTACCTTGCACCTCCTCAGGCTCGTCTGGCTGCAGGTCCATCTGCACAGTACCCTCCTGTTCGAACCAAACGTGAACCTCTCTTACGATCCGCGTGCCACATCCCTGCCTCTTCTGCTTGCGGCTCAACTGCAGCACGGCTGTGAGTCTGTGAAACACCTGGGCTTGGGCATTTACTTCAACGCTGTTTGCCGTGCATTGTCCCAACGTGATCTGGCCTGCAGTGCTTCGCTCGCCTCTTCTCCTGCCACCTCGCATCTTCGCCGCGGAGCTCTTGATCCATCCTTCCTCTGCCTGGATCCCACGAGGAGCTGAGGCTCAGGAAATCCCAGGCAGTCTTGCAAGAGACCAAGAGCCCAATTCCTGAACAAAACAGTGTAGCCGGAGCCCAAAACACGCAACCTTACACTTGCACGATCGTCAAGACACGCCAAAACCTTTGTAGGACCATCCCATGTAAGTCCAACTTCGACTCGACGGTCTGAAGGTTGTACCACTCTGACCTGCTGAAACCCTAGCGGAAGAAATCACGGCACAGCCTCCTCTGTTTCGCCGTATCCTTCTGTGGCTAAGAGGACTTCAGGAGTGGCCTCCTGTGACAAGAACTAAAACATCACCAAGGCTCTTGTCATTGGGAGACACAAGATAGCTACACCACATCTGAATCAAAACAGAACAGCAAAAATGTGCTTTGTCAAGCACCTAAAAACAAGCTGTCAGCAGCACCGTCCTCGCGTGAGGGCACATCGTCTTGCTGATCGCCGGCCTCGCCTCCACAAGGCCCATTCAGCTTAAGTCCAGACTTACCTTTGCAGCTATGGTCAAGTCAAACCAGGCCCAACTCAAACTATCATGTTTTGGCAAGCACAACCAGCAAGCACGTGATTTGGAGCCTCCAGCTGCATCATCCTGGCACAATTCGAATTCTACGACTTGTCCAACAGCTGCGGCCGCTTTGCACACAGCTTGGCATCGGCATGATTCCTTAATATAGTCCAAGGGATACAGGTCATTCTCCGGCCTCCGGGCTTTCCGCGTCCACAGTCTCAGCCGCAACGGAAGCCTTCAGCTGCAACTACACAAGGCTTGAAGCGAAACCGACTCCAACAACTGTTTAATGTCAACCGAGCATTCACGGTCAGTGATTCCCTTTGCTGCGAAATGGACAATAGCCATGCACTTGGAATACAAATCCGCATTCGCATTCTACAACTGGTCCGCGCAGGCTACAGCTCACACAGCATACTACCCATGTCTACAATTTGCCGCACCAGGATTTGTTTTGAGAGCTCTTGACACGCAAAAATCCCTGAGCCGACTGAGCTATGGAATGTGCAGAAAGGCCTGGAGGTGGCTGTCCATCTGGTCACTCTTGGCTTCTTGCGCGCCTCACAACATGATGTAAGCACAGAGATGAAAAAGCCAACATCAAGCTACCAGCATGCCTCTGCAACAAACTGTTGCATGTTGCATGAAGCATGTCCAGTCGACCCATCCAACACACGGCATGCAGACATCAGCATCCGGTGACGTTCCAAGACCAGCAACGAAGCAGCCTTCAGAGCCGTGCCGAGCACGCCTGACGTCAAAGAAGCTCATGACACACTCTCTCTTCCTGCAAACCGAGATCTGAATTCTGCTGCCCATTCCAAAATTAACGATGGCAACACCTCAAGGCATGCACATCAGCAAATGCTCAAGAAGATTCCCACATGTCAAGTTTGTCCACTTTCAGGGATGGCTGCGATCCAAAATCGTGAGTTTCAGACGGATACCTGCAATGCCATTGTTAAGGTTGTGCCACGAGAAACAAACTTTGGGGTTCGGATTTGGGGCCTCCATCCGGCTACGTCGCCTGTGGCTACTGTCAATACCTGGCCTTGCCCTCGCAGCATGGGTACGTTCCCTCCTTTGTGCAGCAGCACGCTCTCTGTTTGCCTTCACAGCAACCAGGACTTTTGGAGACGTACGGTGCAGATGCACTGCTTCTGGCATATCAATAGAATTAATGATTGCGATCGCCTCTTTCTCTTTCTCCTCTTGGCGCTCCATAGCAGCAATCCATGCTTCATCCAGTGGAGGATCCTGCATCCAGGAAACAACCAAATTCAACAGCCCTGCCCCATCTGTGAAGACCTCTTCGAGAGGCTTTTGCATGGACTGCTGCGCAGCCTTTGCTGCCGCTGCAGCCTGCAAGGAATAGAAACGGCAGCAGAACAGCAGAACAGCACAGCAAGCACAGCAGCACAGCACTTGCCTTGGCCTCTCTGCGTTGTCGTAGCCGCTGCAAGGCACTCGCCCTGAACTCCAAGATGGTGCAGAAAGCAGAAAGCAGCAAAGCAGCAGAAGCTGAGGAAGCTGAGGCGAAGTCTTTGCGGCAGATGCAGCTACGACCTGAGCAGTTACAAAGCAACTGTTACAGTCGTCTTGCTGGCGTCCTGGGGAGCTGTCCATCGGTGGAAGGGTCTCTTTGTTAGCTGGCGAGCGACTTGTCCGCTCCTGGTGAGCGAGCCAGCTTCTGGAAACACATGCAGCGGAAAGTACCACTGCTTGTAGCTCTCCTTTGACGGCGCAGAAGGGGTCTCCCCCTGCAAGGCTGCGTTACATTCTTGAAACTGGCGTTGTGCACTTCCGCCTCATTGGCTGCAAGGCCAGTTTGCAGAGGCTCCTTTGGTCAATGCAAGTCATTGAGGCCTGACTCGTCTTGGTGGGCACCCCGGTCCTTCCCAGGATCACTTTGACCAGTTTTGCGCCTAAGCCCCCAAGAACAAGCCAAAGCTTTCGGGTATGAAGCGAAGGAGTGGCTTCAGCATGAATCGGCAACAACAGCATAAAGCACATGCAGCACACAGATGGCCAATATGAAAGGAGCGATGTACAGGCACAGCCGTGCAGAAGGAAGACTGTGCAGTCTATCAATGGCTTCCTGCATCATAGCAATCCATAGCATGTTCAAGTTGTTCTCTTTACGGCTAAGCTTGCACCCACTGCCAAGCATTGCTGGCAAGAAGAGCTTCGTCTCCCTACACTCCGCTGGGAGAACTGCAGTCTCTGAGAGGGTTGAACTTCTGTTTGGGACGTGTGGGCGCCCAGCTAGACTGATGTTGTACAGCCTTGCTCACTTGTCCAGGCCACTGCAAGCAGGGACAAGCTGCTATCAGTTTTGCAAGCCCAAGCATAAATCAGTGTGAGAAGTCATACCGCCCTATCCTCTCCAGCAGCGGGTTGCGAATTTGGGTCGTAAGTGTGGCACCTGGCTGTCGCCTTCTGTCCTCGGGCAACCGGGAAAGCAATCAAAGAGGCCCCTTCTCTGCTCAGACCGGGCTCACGGCGCTGGCACTCTCCTTTTCGGATGCGCTTCTTGGATTCATCAACCACGGCTCTCCTAACGAGAAACAGAAGCGTCTGCAGACGCACCGTAACAGTTACGCCGTAACGACTATCACTAGTTCGATCTTGGGCACGGGCTTGCCGCACAGATCCTGTCAAATAGAAACCCAGAGCTTGAGAAGGCACACAAGCAGCACAAAGAAGTTCAGTCAGAATCTCCCTTGTAAACCGTTTACAGTCTGAATGGAGCAAGAGTGGAAGGCTGCTCAACAGCGCAAAGTATGAGAATAGTATCGCTGCAAATCCAAGGACCGATTTGCCTCCAGAAGCTTCCAAAATCTTCCAAAAAAAGGCAAGTTCTTGGAGTGCGCTTCCCAGCAAACTGCCTACGCACTCTCCATGTGCCTGGAAGACTGTAGCCACGCTGCCCTGCAGCGTATCCTGGCAGAATACGTTGCACTCACACGCAACCACAAGCACAGGAACATCGGAATGCCGGCAGGCACGACCAAGCCGTTCTCCAAGAAGACGTACACTGGTACTAGAGCATCGTCACACATGTCCAGCAAGTGGCACCTAGTCAAGACGAAGTTTTCTGCTGGGACTGCACATACCTGGCTCACTGAGGTTAGTGCACGCTGCCACATGCAGATTGCAAGGACCTGAGCATTAGACACATTGCTCAAAACGGCCCTTGCTTGGTAAAGGAGGCAAAAGCTCATCTGCTGCCAGAGGGCTGCCAATCTCGGGTGCCGTCACAAACGGCCTGAATGCTTTTGAAAAATTGCCTTTGTGAGGACTTCCAAAGTCTTGGCCACTCTGAACAGAGCTACTGAATCCTGATTGGGACCACTATGCGGTTCAGGGGGCCTGCAATGGGCGTGCCTGTCAATTCGAAGACCGCCACAGCAAGCGAAAGACACAAGGATTTTTTCTGGTGAGCATCCATCCACCGTCTCTCAGGCTGCAGAAGACACTGTTTTAAGATGAAAAGGAAATCCAGCCAAGGATGATTTCTAGGTTGCAAGTTTTAGACTCGCTTGGGCATCGGATGAGATGATCTTCTCAGGGGTTTAATTTGCTGCGCTTTCTTGCAGCAGTGGCTCCAGTTAAAGGATGCGTTGTCCGAAACAATCATCCGGAGTGCATTTATTACTGTGTGCCTGAAAGCCTGTGGCCATGCCGCCCTGCATCGCATCCTGGCAAAGTAAGTTGCACCCAGACCCAATTAGCCACGAGCACAGGAACATCGGAATGCCAGCCGGCATGACCAAGCTATTCTCCAAGAAGACATACACTGGATCTAAAGCATCGTCACACATGTCCAGCAAGTGGCACCTGGGAATGACGAGTTTTTGCCAGGACAGTGAGTGCGTGCATGCCATGTTAGACATGTAGGACGCTAAGGCTTGCGCACGCTGCCACATGCAAACTGCAAGAACCTGGGGCCATCGCAGGGAAAGGCATGTCTTGGATCGGTTTGGCTGCACTCGTTGCGAAAGCCTATCTGCTGCCAAAGGGCTGCCAATCTTGGGTGCCTTCACAGACGGCCTGAAAACACACTGCGTGGCAGTCAACTGAAACATCTGGCTCAGCAGGCTCTGCCTCATAGACCTCTTGCAGGTAGAGAGCCCACTGTTCAGACCATGTCCTCATTCATTGGCACAAAGGCATGATACACGTCTGACTCTGTAGCGGATGTACAGATTGTACACTACATGAAACGAAGTAAACACCACTTTTCCAGCACTGCGCATCCCACGCGTAGCACATAGAAATGCTTCTACAAAACTTGACAAAGGTGAACTCAAAAGCACAGAGGCTGGACCTCAAAAAGCACTAAACAACAAGCAATGTGGAGACGGTGCCAGAAGATTCCAGAAGTGCCCATGCATGCTAAGCCAACTTCCAAGGCTTGTGACACATCCTTCATCTTTGATGGGTGCAACAACACCTTTAACCGGGCCCATAAAAGCGAGAAGCAGACTCATTATCTTGAGCGCAAGGTCTTTGTCAAATATCTGGATCTTGAGTCAAAAGTGAGATCATGCGAATGCAACAGAAGGCGCTACATGCGCTGTGCTGCCGACTGACCTTGGGGCAGCATTTCGTCGACGTCGAACGCTTGCAGACACCTGCCCAATTCCTCCAACCTTAATCCAATAGTGTGAGCCAAATGGTATGCCACACCAATCAAGCCTGAAATCCATGAAGTGAGCAATGAGGGCCCTGCAACAGCATGACGCACTGCGCAGGCAATGGCAACTACCAGCGCAACGCAGCCGACTAACCTGTGTGTGCACAAGGTTGATGCTGTGCTTCCCTTGTTTCTGGGCTCAAGGGCTGAGGAGACGGCTGTGTGACAGCTGAAGCTAGGGACCAACAGTACGCAAGTCCTGCGGAACATTTGATACATTGCTGCCAAACAGAAACAAGGATGCTGCCACTGCTCTTCCTGTTGGAGGAGTCTCCTCTCTACAGCCTTGGAAAGCAAGAGAAATTATTGCACTCTGGGCACATGGGAAGGATGAGGAAGGATAAGGAAGGTGCTGTAGCAGTCTTCCCCAAGGTGAACCTGCCAGGCATCGCCAGCAATGCACGGGCCTGGAAATTGCTGAGGCTTCAAGCGTTGGCCTTAACCAAGCCATCATGGCACTCGCACGGACCCGTGATGCAGGAATCTAAAGACCTGACATCTTGCGTGGCTGCTTTCCATGCAGTAAAGTCTGGATCTCAAACCCACCAAGTATCCCACACAGGGCAACTTGGTACTGGAGGTGCACACCTCTTCAGCACGTTGCAGGCTGAGCCACCCATAGACAGCATGTGCTGAGCTCCCAGCACATAGCACACAGACCGATTGGCTGTCTGCATTTCCTGCCAATTTTTTTCCAGCAGCATGAGCAGAGCATGTTGCTGTCAGGTTATCATGATCCATGCCTTTCGCACGTGCGAGGAGTCTTCGCACCGGCATGTGCCCATGCTGCAATGCGCAGGATCTGTTGTGCACATGTACCTGTTCAGCCGGATTGGCAGTGCTTTATGCTGTCGGACCTGGCATCTCACATTTTCCTGGCAAAGCAAGAAACCTGTTCGGGGCACTCAATAGCCTGTAAGCAGAGCTGCTTTCGCCTGTCCACGCAAAATAGGTCCTTCCGACCAGCCTGCAAGCAGCTTTCGCAGAAGAGTCCAGGCATCACTGGGCTCACTGGGCAAAATGGCCAGCCTACTCTGAGCTCTGATTTCCTGCAACTTCCTGCTTACTGATTTGGTTGGAGGGGCCAGCATTTGCCACAGCCCTTTCCAGCGAGCTTGCCCTAAAAGTTCAGCATCTCACTCGGGAATTCCAAAACTCCGGCAGAGCCACCGCTGACATCTGTGCACAAAGTCACCGTGTTTGAGACTCTACGTCAAACACAGGCCCCAAGTCTGTGAGCAAACTCAATATCGAAACATCAAACTCCAACCCCAGAACCTCAAGCGTTGAGGTACACTAGCACCCAAACCTGGCCAGACTCGAAGCAAACTCCAAAACTGCCAAGCGCTGACTTTAGGGGTTCAGGATTTATGCTTTAGGGTTTAGGGCTTGGCTTGAAGCGAGCACGTGCAATGCACGTTCATCCACTTGCATTTGAAACATGTTTCCCGCCTCTTCCTTTGACACCGTGCGCTGCACAAATTTAGTGGCATTGAGCCCACCTCAAGGGAGCTGCATGGCACACGCACTGGAACACTGCTGCATGACTGCGTAGGAACGTCGGCAGGCCCCCAGCAAGGCACCAAGCTCCAAGAATCTGTCCACGTAAGACCTAGGCTGTGAGGATGCTTCCTGCAAACCGACAAGAAGCCAATCATGCAGCACTTGCCAAGGTGGGAACAGCTGTTGTTGTGTGCCTTGGCCAAGATTGAAGCGCCGTTGAAACGGAACACTGTACCTGCAGCTGAGTTGAGAAGACCAGGAAACAAACAAAACGCTGGAATCCAGGCAAGCTCACAAGAGCTTGAATTCGAGCTTGCAAGCTGGACACCTTGGACTTCGGAAACATGTAAGGCAGGACACAGGCTGCATGGATAGGCACAGCTCATGCAGACTCCAGCATACGGAGTTGAGCACCATCAGTGTCATCAATCACGCGAAGGCATGTCTCATCTGCACCTGCGAATCAAGGTCTCGGTCTGAGTGGACAGCCAGTAGACTTTCTTCACATCTTGGACACGTGCGTGATGACCGAAGCGTCATGTCAACATGTGGCCGGACCTCAATTAGCAGGGAGCCAAGGAAGCTGTCAAAAACATCTAAAGCGGAATCTACAAGTGTGTCTTGGGAGAGCACGCATTGCCAACAGGGTCGCCCTGGTGGGCCAACATCTATCCTCAAGCAGCACAAGAGGTCTCCCAAAATCAGGAATACCTTTTTGGGGGTGCTCATAATAAGGATTATAATATATTAGCTATAGTATTACCATATATTGCTTCGGGATTTGATATTAACCCCCCAATAGTGGAGATTCAACTGCAACAGCAAATGGAAAATGAAATGGAAACAGGGATTATATACTTGATTTTAGGGATGTATAATATGTGTATATATATATATACATGTGCTAAAGGGTTTAGGGAGACTACCACCCAAAGTTCTCAAGCTACGTTTCTCTGTCAAGCCAGGCCTGGGCCAAGAAGGATCTTCGCACGCGCAGGCCTTCCAGAGCGAATCAGAACAAACTTCTATATAGGGGGAATATATGGTTATATAGGAACCATATAGAGGCAATATAGGGTGATATAGGGACTGTATAGGGAACATAAAAAATTACACACACCCGATCATGCAAGATTTCGCCATACACCCTGTCATATGTGCATATGTGTATGATTGTATTCCCAGATATAGACATACCCCATTAACTCATATATATATGTATGTATGTATAATACCATGTTATCTTGTTATATGATATAACCCCATATATATGTATACATAATCCTCTCCCCTAACGTTAAACCCCACTCCCCCCCCCCTAAGATTAAATACTCCCCATAGGGAGCGGATTATATATCTATATATTTATATGACCCTGTTAACTTTTTGACATATCCCCATATATATCCTAAACCCTAAACCCTAAACCCTAAACCCTAAAGATTATGCCACCAGGCCAGAGCTGAGGATGCAGCGGATTCAGTACACGTTGAAGCACCTCCGGCCACTGCCTCGCGGATGATCAAACTTACGGGTGCCTAGCAGAGAATAAGGGTTTAGGGTTTAGGGTTTTTTGGTTTAGGGTTTAGATGAACCTTTTACAAATCTATATAATCTGTATAGTATATCATATAGATTTATAAACCCTATATAGATCCATATCATACATTCCTTATCTACTCCCTACTACTCCCCAGTACGCAAAGACAGGTTTGCACAGGGACTGGTCGTGAACAGCACGACTTCATGAAAAAAGCAAAATTTTGGAGCCCAGGGCTGATATCCCCCCCAAACCCTAGACCCTAAATTAGTAGTTTCCATTTTCTTCTCCATTGTACCCAACATTACCCCTATTTATATCGGAGTTTCCATGTTATTTTTCACTATGCTCAAATTTAGGGGCCCCCGGTCAGGAAGCAGGGCAAGAATGCCTGAATGGAGGGCACCTGCAGCATTGGCATCTTCTCACACTGAGGCCAGGACTGGGCAAAATTCTTCCACACACTGGGAACAGGCCAGTGCATCCTGATAGCGGCCATTTGCACGATATCGCAAGAAAAACGGGCGCACGTGTATCTATGATACGGTAGACAGACATAGTGCACTACACATCATACACAGCACTGATGATACTTGCCATTTTCACATGCAACCTAGCCTTATACACATACATGCTCGCCAACACAGTCCTGTGTGACCAAATCCCGCTTCATCAGAGGGAACGGGCAGGTGCAAACGCCTGGCCTCGGCGCACCAGAGATTAGATATGATATTGAAACAAATTGAATCTCGATGGAGTGCTCCTCAGGCTGAGCAGTCCTGCTTATGCTTCAGTATTGAAATCCATGCAAGACTCCGGGGCCTTTTGCATTTCTTCCCTGCCAAATCTGCAAATCAGCAGAGCCAAGTCTGTACAAGCTGCACCCAAAACTAGCCCCTCAAGCCGGCATCTTCTGATTTTGACAGCAGCTTCAAGCTAGCACATACAGATTCTGCCGATCGGCTCATGCCAAGTTCCCGAAAGCCAGCTAACACTTCAGCAAGTAGATCTGCGGCTTCAGCCTGCTCTCCCATATCATCCATCTCTTCAGCTTCATCCACTTGAAGATTGAGCTGCCCGACACGACGCACCAGGGCTTCAAGGTCTGTGCCCTGGCACCTCCTGAGGATGCCGTTGGGACCAAAGTCCTCCAGCGAACTTAACGCGCCGTAGTCCAGCAGGATCTTGGCCGCTTCTTCATGTCCACTTAAGCACGCGAGGTGAAGCGGACGCTGACCTGGACCGGCTTCTACATCAGGCTTGGCACCTCTCCTGCAGAGAATCTCAACTGCACACGCATGACCATTGGCAGCTGCATGGTGAAGGGCTTCCCGTGTATCACCAGAAGTAGCATAAATTGTAGCTCTTCTATCCAACAACATGTCGCAAATGCTGACATGACCCTCGGAAGCGGCCCAGTGTAGCGGGCGCATTCCTGTAAATGTAGCTTCTTCTAGGTGAGCTTTTCGATCCAGGAGCAGCTCGCAAACGTCATAATGCCCATGCTTGCAGGCTTCATGTACTGGATGCTTACCATCACAGATCTCTTCTACATCAATTTCAGCCTTGGCCTCCAACAAGAGAATGCAAACCTCCCGAAATCCCCTCTGAGCAGCCAGGTGCAAGAGGCGCTCTCGTTTCGGCCAAAGCGGAGCATTGACATTCACACATCGCTTCAAGGTACCGAAGCGAATGATAGCTTTGATCATGTCAGAATCACCTGATTCCACGGCTTTTTGCAGCTCAGCATTTGTGGTTGCCTGCTTCAGGACTGCTTTGTCGCTGCTGGGCCCCTTGTACTTGACCAAGTTCTTCATCTGGTCAGGCTTCGGCATCTGCCGCTGCACATCGCCCATGGTGGGCCCGGACATGGCTGTCACGAAGGTTGAATGTCAAAGTAAACAGTCGCCCAATCTTGCTGCCTCGATGGAATCAATTTGAACTTTTAGAAGCTGCTTGCATGTGTCCGCAAGATGTGAATCTGCACGCATCAGTCGGCTGCAGAGAAAGCAGAAACAACATCAGACATGAGCTAGTCAACGCGGAAATCCGTTGAGGCGGAACCAACAAGCATACATCCTGGCAGCCCGGCGTACACATGCCCTGCTCTGAGGTGCACTGACTCGGCACGAACCTTCCACGAGAAGAAAAACGTGATTTGTTGTACACAAACAGAACTTGTCAACACTGCCCTTGTTCGTGAAAGCGCCTTGGAAGAATGTGCCCAGAGAGTCCAAAGGCGATGACAAACATCAGAATAGAAGCTGTGCAAAGCCACCTGAAAGAAAGACATCACGTATGGCACGATGTTGCACTGTCCTGCTGCCCACTGTCAGACTGTCAGACGCTCTCTGCTGGCACGCCAATTCCACATACCCCATGAAGGAAAAAAGACTTTGGGCCGGGCTCCGACCAAACTTCAGTCTTCGAATGCACCTGTCGCAGCTACAGGCCAGCTCAAAACTACAGGGCTTTCGGCTTCACATGCATAATTGTCATGGTGCCTCTGCATCCTTGCAAACAGAAACATGCTTGCGAGTCATGGGTGCACGTATCCTGAACAAGATTTGCTAGTGACCTGCTTCCAAATACGTTGGGCTGATACTGTCCGCAGACTTATGGCTCGTGCAAATGAACAAAGACACCCTATCCAAGCTGGTGATGTAGCTCCCCATTTCAGTCAAATGTTGCAACATGCTGCGGGGAAGTCCAAGAATTGACACGCACATGATGTCAACGCCAATGTTTCATTTCCAAGGGCTTATCATGCCAACTCAAATGCCACGATGTTGTATCTGGACCAACACTATAAACATCAACGTGTTCCCATCGTCTCACAAAGATGCTCAAGAGCCGAAGACTACGTACCATGCCAATGTTGTGATCTAGCGTTCCTCATGGCGGCCACAAGGCTACAAGAACCAGTTCCAACGTTAGTTCTGGGGTCCTGTTTTGCAATCATGGATGTCTCATGCAAATCATCCGAATTCCTGTCAGGTACGTCAATATAACAAACCCGAAACAACACTTGTTCACATGTGCAACATATGGCTGAAGATTCGAAGCACGGTCCCTCCTCTTGCAAACGGAAAGCATTCTAAAGTCACCGCCAAAGTTTGCATTTCCACCCTCATGCCTGAAAATGACAAAATGCCTAACATGGACACATGGAAAGGCCTAATTCCACTCATGCAATGTATATGGGATGTTCATACCTCCTCCCCCAGAAATGATTGGGCCATCTTGCTTCCAATACCGAATTAAAAAAGGCACGACATTCACTCGTCATGTATGCTCAAATTGTTTCTCCCGAAAGGAAATTTTCTCGCAATACTCACCTTTCACACCAATACCTGAAAGAACTTTTATTGTCCGACACACGAGCTGTTTTTGCCACATTTCCGGTTTTCAACATTAAAAACTGGGAAGGGATTGCCTGCCTCACCACTCACCGGAGTGAAGCTTCAGATTCTTCAGTAAATCAAGAAAAACGGTTTCATGCGTTACCTTCGAAACATCCTTGTCAAACGTGCCAACGCGTCTCAATTTTTCCCCCCCAAGAGACCCTTGAGGTTTACAACCGTCATCGAAAGATGCAAAACGTCATCTTCAGCAAGTTTGCATGGGGAACCCGACGCTTTTTGGTAGTGAGCATTCGGACAACACACATCACACACTTTTCCAAAAGCGTGAGTCGAAGTGTCCATCAGTGAACTTAACACTCGGCAAGGTCTGCCGAACGAAAGCATTTTTTTTGGCATGTTCCTTCCGTCTCAATCAAGGCATCCATGTGTAACAGAGTTCTTGCACAAATTAACAACAGTATGGCCACATTCGTGGCAACACGCCACTCGATCAGCTTCATGACCAGATAGGTCCACTTTCGCGCGACTTCCACCCACCAATGCCCGTCAGCCTTGTGATATTCACCAAGGAAAGTTGCTATGAACAATGCATTTTGTTCCTTCAAACAAATATCTGCAGCTTTACGCTTTGAATAAATAGAATTACTGAGGATAATCAAGTAGTGCACTTGACACACAAAACTCCTCCGAAAGCGATCTCGTTTTTTTGCCTGAATGTGGCCATGCATACTTCACAACGTGTAATCATATGTGCCCTGGCACGTCCCATGAACATCCCATCACCACGGTCACATCTTTGCTCACCCCCCAAACTTTGCATAACTCACTCAACCTGGAAATGAATTCGGGTCAAACATCATGCTCAAAGGACACAAAGAAGAACTGTTAGTACACTAGCCCTAACGTAAAACCTTACAGGGAAAGCAAATCACTCACGCTCTTTTTGCTTTCGAGATGGCGGAACTCCCTGTCGTAGCCGGAGAGGACCTCCTGCCACCAGGCAGGCTCCTCTCCCCTTTCGAAGACGTTCCGGCTACCAGGGTTGCAGCCTTCTCGCCCTTTTGCTCGCCGGAAGCTTGACTGCCGCAGAGGCCTTTCGCGTCTTCACCTCCTTGTAGAAACTATCGGAGTGACGAAGGAGCTTGTCCAAAACTTTCCACTCCAGTTCCTCCCCTTTAAGCGGAATCCTGAGTGCACTGTCGAACATGTCGAACTTTTCGTTCGTGAGGTCGTCTGCCAGTTGATTGCTATCTCTCCGCAGCCAACTCAATTCCAGTTGGCTGTTCTTACTGGCGAGCTCCTCCGTAAGCTCCATGAGGATTAAGGTAGAGGGAAATTTCGTTGTCATGCCCTTCCTCACAAGGCTCTCGTTGGACCTGTTGTCGGTGAAACCCCTCATGGATACTATCGACAACTGACGACTGTCGCTCTCGGGGACCCAGAGCTTCACGGCAACCAGGGTAGCCAACAGTTCCAATGCCGCAATGACTCTTTTGGTGTCGCCCTTCACGAAAGCCCAAGGGGCCCAGCTTTCGGTAACTTCCAAAGAGAACCACGGCCCTGGCGGCCCTCGACGACCTCAAGAAAACCCCCGATCCAAGCTCTTCCATCTGCCGCCTTTGCATCTGTGAAAAATCTTGGACCTACCAATTCTGTCGATAGCTTTGAAGGAGCTTGGAGCCTGTCGCTACCCTCCAATCTCTCCGCAAGCCACAGACAAAGAACTCTAATCATGACTGGAATCTTCATCTCTCCCATCTTCCCTTGTATGGCTGACGACCAGGAGTAGAGTGGGCCCAAAAATGGCTTCTCCCACTCCAGGGCTAGCGCGGCAAAGCCCAGACGGCCAAGCCCTTGGGCCATGTTCCTGCCGCTGACGGAACCTTTCGAGCAAATCTCACGAAGCCAGTTCCCCAGCCAATTCGCTCTCTTCACCGACAACCCCAGTCGATAGCTGCCGTATTCCGTTTCCATGCCCAACCACTCTACCCGGAAACCCCCCCTGGTCTTAGCCCATTTAAGGAAACCTAACGCAGAGAGGAAAAC